AATCCTCACAGGAGGTGACAACCGCGTGAGCTTCTAGCTGCTTGAGTTATGGTTCTTAGGCCCGCAGTCAGTCAACAAGCGCAATGCCTTGCGGTTTCCATATTTCGTACTGAAACTTTGTCTGAACAGGAGAATCCGTCACGTAGGAAGGGCCGGGACGGGTCCAACAATAAAGCCGATGACAGCGAACATAATGGTCGTGCAATTATCGAATCCACATTCAACACGGTTGACGAAATCGCGACAATTAATTACTCTGAAGCGGACTGCCAATCCATTATCACACAAATTGCGACCCAATAGCGCTGATTAGGGGAGCTGCTGATTATAGTGCGCACGCGATCGCATAGCCGCTACGAACTTTAAATACTGCGTAATCTGTGCATGTATTCCCTTTTTCTGCGTTTATATCTGAGGGTTCAAGGCAGAATCGGAAACGGCAGGCAAATAAACTTCTTGTTCCAGCGATCGCATTTTCTACTTCTGAACTGTCATTTTTATCATTCGCGCTAACTCGGCCCGTGCAAAAAGACGCGCACAGGCCTTGAGCTGGCCAGACGGTGGGGGATTAATAGATGTCAGGCGTTTCTATAGCGTACACACCTCCTACTGGTGTCTTTTGCCTTCTCCTGCTCACCAGGATTTGGCCGCATTATCGTGGTGCATCACTTATCCCTTATCTACTACACGCTCGCTTTCCTCAGCCACCTGTGTCCGGTTTCAAGACAGAGTCAAGAAGACCAAAAGTGGGATTGGGCGCATGCGGTCGGCGCGGCCACAGCCGCCCACCATATTTGGCATTTGTTATCGGCGCACAATCCGAGTAAACCTAGTCTAGCCCCCGCGTTGGTCCAGCGCATCTACCAAGTGGCCCATTTAGGGGCACATAACACACACATACAACGAGCACTTAAACAACGCCAATCTATCAAGCTCGCAGACCGATACATAAGGCTTTCTAGTACTATGCTCACACATTACGGCCAGACATCATCCATGTACTAGCTTTCACGTGAAGTATGCCAACGCCGGTAATGGCGGACGAACTGTTATGCGCGCATGCGATAAGTGGATGGCTTATGCAAGGCCAACTACTGCGTTTGACATTATCGAACGTCGATTAAAAGGCACCGATAGACCACCGACTTATGGGGGAGGAAATGCCGTCGATCCGGCTCGTATTCCATACTTGATTCGGTTACAAAGAAAAAAAAACTCGGTGCGGCTCAAAATAGGAGATATGCCCGTTAAGCGGTGTTTATAGCATTCTTGTAGACCGAAGATCCAAGAAAAGGCTCAATCAACATGTTTGATGCGCTTTTACGTAGTTGTCAGCTTAGTCAGCAATCTCTAATCTTTTAATTTTCATTTTCATTAAGAAGTAGTCATTGCGGATGAAGGGAGTGCAGTAGGCGCAACGAGAATCTACTTTGCTATAAACGGAAGGCACAGCTGTTTGACAGAAGAACTGTTATTAAGTTTGGGACCAGAGAACAATATACTGCATCTATAGGCTGGTTAACTTCAGTAAGTCCCAGCGTGAACAATGATCAGTATGCATTTCCGTACGGATATTTAATGTGATTGGAACTTGCGCAATATCTACCTCCTTCTGTCCTCCACAATGTATAATGTATCGGAAGACAAACTTAAGGCGACTGAAAGTGTATGCGGGCACATGGAATATGGAGGTGCACCTTATTTACTTATATCAGGAATGAGTCTCGAGTATATCAGAGATTAATGGCATTGATTTGAAACGCACGCTTGTATGCACAGAAGCTAGCCATAACCTATTAACCTACTAAAGAGGTAATGTCAGGGACCAACAGATACCGCTCACAGACTGAACACGCTGAGGCTTCACTTACAAAACGCAAAAGATGCTAAATTGGAAAAAATATACCCGCGGACAGACGAAACAAGAACAGCACGACGAAGTTCTTGCAAAAAAAATCAGTACACTGAGCTAGGAATGAAATACATGTCAGCGCAAAAAACGAGCATTTTAGGATCAGGTACATCGTGCGCTTTAACAATTCGAACTTCCGAAAAATAGGACGGAGGACAACCTTACGTTTAAGTCAAAATATGAGTAGCGAAAAAAAACAAAAGCCTACTTTCCAAAATAAGATCAATATAGTCTTTAAGAAGAACTTTTACCCTATATAAGCTGCTAATTCGCAAAGTCTTTTGGTGCATCAATAACGTACATATTAAAAATTCTGCAGCCACCTTCAGCCTTTATTTAAGTAATATGTCGAAATTTAATTATACAAACTGCCAAGAATATAAAAGTTCATACAATTCTTTTGTCATGTAACGAATCCAAAAGAGCGCGTTGATTTTCTGAGCAAATCCGTAGATAATATGGTAGCTAGAATTTTTTGGTATCAGAACACAAAGGCTTTCGTACAAAAAGCTACAACTACACTCGGGGGGTTTAGCATGGGCCAACCTATCTTGTCTCGTCTTATCCTTCCTGGTTATTGACAGAAAGTATTCACAATAGCCACAGATCATCAATAAGTAGAAGCTAGTTCCTACAGGCATCTGGCCTCACGAGTAAAACAAGTTCTACCAACCAGAAAGCATTCAGACTCGACTACAAGGATTACATTTTGACACAATTGAGAGGTACGATGCGGGGGTGCATAGCTTTTTAAAAGCATATAAGGCATACACTAACACATTTGAAAAAAAACATTTTATCAATATCGGCGTGTCTGCATGAATATCAAGATCTGGATATGGCGGTTTACTAGAAAGAATAGCAAGGTTCGGCACCTCTATTATCATATGATATCGTCGCCATATGCACAAGAGGGTAAGTAAGAGGGGCAGTGCTTTGCTCCAAAATAGGTTGGTACACTGCCTGTGAGTAAAAAAGTGCGTCAAAAGATCAGTCAGAAAGGAAATATGACTATATACTTAAGCACGAAGAAAAAACTTAGGAGGGTAATAGTGTCCAAACAAATAATTAAAGAAACCGTCGTCGAAAAGGTCAAATAGTCTTCTAAAACCCTTAGCGGAGGCAATTGATAGGCTCTGTCCAAAAAAGTTCATGAGCGAAGAGAAGGAACGTCACCTTTTTGGTCTAGATTTCAACGTGCCTAATGTCAGAAGCCCCGTGTCATTTTTCCCTTCATGCGCAACTGTTATAACGCTTGCTATTAAAAAGTGTCCCTGTTAACTGGAGAAAGAGCCTAGTCATCCATCTACGCTATAGTTCAGGCCGTTGGCGGATGGGGAACTAACTGGTACTACAGAAAACACTGGCCTACAAGTCATAAGATATATAAAGAATATACCTTGGCTGGAAAATTTAACTAACAAGCATAACACATCACACGCAAAAGAAGTTAATTTGCTCTAATATTAATTTGTTTAACAGTGGAGCCATGCGTGGGACTGAGTTGTCCTGGAGCGTCTTTTAAGCTTTTGAGTGAGCAACACGGCTCATTCCCATATTCCACGCACTTTTGAATTAGCGGGATCGAATAGATAGATAAAAGCACATTATTTGCTCTTCTCAAGGTTGGCAGACACTGAACTATTAGATTGCAAATATTAACCAATTTATTAACAAATTCGGGCCTATTTTACAATTTTCTGCAGAGGACTTGAAACCCGAGCGGAACCTAGATTACTCCTCAACCCAATGAACCGTCAGCAAAAGCTTGGAGTCCCGACATAATTTTGCGTCCGTTGACTCCAGGAAGGCATAAAAGTGGTCGTATGTGGTTCATATTCATATTTCCAACTAAGTCTTCCGAGAAATTTTGGAGAAACTGGCTGAAATTACAATGTATGGAACAGTTCATATGGATGATAACGACGACTGTGACACGCATATAAGTCAATGGGAAGACTCGGAGGCAGTTGCGATGGCAAATGGGATGCAGTAGCGGTTAAGGCGGACCATGTTCTCTTCAGTCACATGTGCCCGGCCTTGTCGACGAGTGCGTTCCTTTAGGAGCTTCTAACACTGCATCGATTAACAGACTTACGGACAAATGAATGGCATCATTGGCAACTCAGACGTAGAAGAGGCGATCGCAGGAACAAGAAATTTATCTGCCCGACGTTTCAGATTCCGTTGAGAAACCTTCATCAAAGGTGTCCGTAGAATAGGGTGGTACATGCACAGATTAGCAGCATGGACTACCTCGTGTAGTTGACTAACTACACAATAAACATTTTCCTCCACATTTTATTTATGCTCAGTTCCTTTTAGTAGTTTTGGTTGCTATACGTTTTTATTCGGAAGCGTTTTGTCACTTTGACGACCTTATTTTGGACGC